ACGATTTTCACCGTGTTTTCGGAACCCGCTTGGCCGCTTTAAAATAAACAGTAAGCTTCCCTTTCAAGTGCCTCTTTCATTATCACGACCACTGACAGCAACACCAGATGGGAACACATACAGTCAGTCATAGCAATCATCATCATTGTCAGCTATAATGACCGCGTACATGTCGTACAGTGGTTGTAGCTGCCAATTTCGTTCACCGATTATTCGGGAAGGTGGGGTAGGTAGCTGCGCATTGGAGGGGGAGCTGATAAATTATTGGGATGTGTAGGACTTGCTTACAAGAAACATCCAGGAAGCCTGCGCCTACAGTACTAAGCCAGACGATCTGGACAGAAACTGGCAGAATGAATGCCACTAACACCGGTTAGGCGCCATATTGTTCAGTGACTCCAGTCAAGCATAGAACCCATCCTGTAAGGCAAACAACGCAACATCGCAAAACTTTTCGTCATATTTTCCATTTTATTGTGTCATGTCAAATTCTGCCCACCTCCAGGTTTCCGTCACTCCAAATTAAGCATGGGTAACATCGATGTCTCTGGCGGACGGTAACTTGGCACGCGTAACACATGGCTCAGCCACTTTAGCTTGTAGTACTGGATTCTTTCATTGAAGGAACTACCCTCTGATTCACCAAGAACCCGTCTCCTGACCAACTCACTGAAAATCCGCCGGCTCCAACCGATTCCCACTATAGATCTGGGACATCAGTCAAAGACGTGGCCAAAGACCTCAGTATGTCCAGAGCGGCTAAGTCTAAAGTTATGCATGTCCACATGTCCACATCCCTCAGCATGACCTTGAACTTTATGAGTGTTAGGCACATGCCGAAGGTTAGCTTTTCATGTAAATCTTGTGCCTCCCGCCTTGTTTCAAAGTTGAGCACAATGTCGCCCGCCTTCGTAAGGTGACGCAAAATAAGCGACGCTGAGGCCGGAACGAAATCTGATTCAAACTTTAACGAGCCGAGCAAAACGTATTTGCTCTGCTGATACACTGGACTCTGAACTGCAGCACATTGATAACGTGCTCCGAGCCAATGGTTACCCGAAGAGATTTATAACCAGGAATATGTCCGATCGCCCTATCCAACCGCCTATCACTACCGTTGGAAGGAAACCAATATACTTGAGTTTACCGTATAAAGGCGACCTGTTGGCGAACATAGTCGATGCCGCTTGTTTCAATCCCTACAACGCACGTTTCCGGCTGGAACTATGCGGTCATGATTTACAACCAACCCTTTGCTCAACTTAAACCTCAAAGACAAGATGCCAGTCCTCACCCAGAATATGGTTGTGTATTCTCTCTCCTGCTGTTGTTCAGTGGAGTATTTTGGGCGCACGACATGGCAACTTTCTAAGATAATACGCGAGCACCTCTCTTACCGGAATACCATTAGCCTCAACAGTTCAGCCAGAAGCTCAATTGCGTCCAACCTAATTGATACCGAGCACGTAGTCATTCCAAATGAGTGATTTTAAGTCATTTACCGTGTACCAAATGAACTGCCAGTTTTATCCAACGGAGTTGCTTGATTACAGCCAAGGCAGTCGCTATACACCTGTGAAATCCGTTACTGTGTTGTCAAAAACGTTTCGTGCGAACGCTGAGTCTGCCTTGGTCGTTTGACACGAATCAACCGACCAAGTCACTCAACAGCCCTCTTCACTGTCTCAAAGCATCCAACTAGATGCGAGATGGAGGGCGCAAGCAACCTATCGCTCGGGTCTCCATGTTCTACACTTCACTAACCAATCTACGTAGTCATTCCAAATGAGTGATTTTAAGTCATTTACCGTGTACCAAATGAACTGCCAGTTTTATCCAACGGAGTTGCTTGATTACAGCCAAGGCAGTCGCTATACACCTGTGAAATCCACCTGGGATAGTTACCCCACACTCAACGTCTCCTGCCTGCTCTACCTCTTCGGATTTCCGGATCTACCATGATTCATGATTTGCTTAGATGCTTTTTTCACCTCAAGTCTGAAATTTCATCGAGTGGTGCTGTACTCTCGACCACTGATGCGTGCCCAAGTTTCGAGCAATCATAGATTGTTGCTCGAGATTGTGCCTACGTCCGTTTGGTTGAAGTACTCCAAAAGGAGATTATCGAGAATCTTTCAGGGTTTTGGACACTACCTTCCACTAAGAGTCAACATCAGAAGCCTTGTAGGTAGTAGGCGGGTACGTAGCTGTAGTAGAAATCTTTAAATCGGGGTTCGGGGGATTCTCAATGGCGAGATACTGGTGAACAGCCTGACATCCATATTGCAGAAGATTTGGGCCGAAAACAGAATACCGGCCGAATAGAGATCCTCGACCATCATACCAATTTTCAAAGAAGGCACAAGGACGTCATACGAAAACCATCGTAGCATCCGTCGCAAATAAAATACTCTCTAGCATTAGTTTCTGTAGCAGAGACATTCGTGAAAATCAAGTTTGGCTCGGCCCCAGTCGAGGATGCATCAACCATGTTTGCCTTGAGACGACTTCTTGAACAGCGCCACTCCTTCAAACGTCCCATGTTGGTCTTTTTCTTTATCTGAAGACTACTTTTGACTTTGCCTATCGTCAGCAACTTTGACGATCTCTACCGTTCAAAGGTGTCCCCTACAAATTTACATCCCTTATAAGGGCACTGTATGCGACCTCCTGTGAGCATGTACGAGTATACGTAAAGCTTTGGACGGAGTTCAACAGGCCCAGTGCTATAAGACTAGACTACCGTCTCTTATTTTCTCTCTTCAACTTTGTTATTGGTGTGCTGCTTGAAACTTGGCATACACTTCACGTCTGCAAAGTGTAAAGTGCTGCTGCAAGACCGGGTGGGGTCAAATTCAAACATCATGCCTTCAGACAAGCCAATCGACGTAGTAGACAAATTTGTTTACCTAGGCAGTTGTATAAGTTCTGGTCCATCGGCTTGGATGGAGATTACTTCTCAAACCGGGAAGTCCACGACAACCCCTTCCAACTTCTGACAACTATGGCGCCGACGTGACATCAGTTTGTCTATCAAGGGAAGAGCATAAACTTTGTCGGTGAAATCCATGCCGCTCTATAGATCACAGACGTCGCCTCTATGCGCAGAGGGCACATGAAAGATGTCGGTTTTTTACCACTAGTGTCTCCGGAGCACCGGTTGGATGTTGTGGGAACAACGGGTTAGTGTAGCCGAGATAGGTCAGATGGTCCTAGGAGGAAGGAACTCTCCCGCGATAGATGAATTACTCATGCCTCATGGGTTACGCTAGTTAAGACATGCACTTCGCACGCCTAAAGACGGTCTACCCGCACCGAGCCTTGTGCTGAATGGAAGAGACCGAGAGGTCAAGTGTTTGGCCTGGTGACGAAGCGTGAAGACACTAACAAGTAAGCCGGGTTAGGTCGACAACAGCTGCCTCCCCGGATGAGGACTCCGGGACTCAAATCACCAAAGTTTAGTGACACTGACGAAAATAGCCAAATCATGAGGTCAGTGGAGAGCCGTTGCCTTCAATACGTAGCAACGTGGTTCCCGAACACTGACGTTATGCTGATGACGTCAGTGATGACGTCGATGACGAGGATGGTGAGGATAATGATAATAATGATGATGACGATGACGAAACATCCCGTTCCCTAAAAAGGCTTGGCTGTACGTTCCATGCTTTCCCACTTTCCGGTGATCGAAACTGTAGCAGCTGGAACCAATGTAGCTATGGCACATGGTTTATGGATGACAACTGATTGATTTTGTGTCGCACGTTTGCAAGGATGGGAATCCCCTTGAAATGCTTCCTCCAGGACTACTGGACTTGGATCAGGAGTATTTCTTATAATAATGCATTGCTCTCAATTATTCCCTACTACATTAAGTTTGGGTACTCTGAGCCTGCCACACAATGTTGGCATTCAGTAGTAAGGTGATAGAAGACAGTAGGTAATCTGCCATTGATATAGATTCCGGCACCACGTCTCTCGCTATTCCTCCTCGCTTAAGTGTTGTCGCCCCCTCTCCCACTACCGCAGCAGGCAGTGAATTCTAGAAGTTGACGGCCCTGTCTGATAGACAACGTTGTTGACACTATGTGGACTTTAAAAAACGTCAATTGTTATTACGCTACGGGAAGTCCATGGGCACTTCAGCTTGCCACCATGGGCACTTCAGCTGGTCGCCACGCCGACGTGTGTGCAGGTCACCTGTGGCCCAGCGGCAGCTTTGGGTAAATAAGCAACCACTCCCCATACTCAAACTCTTACAAACCTCCACCAAACGCGTAGATCCACGACTGATTCTTTCACACACCCTCCACATCATTGGATTACTTATATCCAACACTTGCATCAGGTTGTTTTTATCGCCACCCATTCATATCAACCAGCGCCATATCAACCAGCCCCCCTCTAGAGCTCTGAATTTAAGTTCTAGTGCACATCATCGGTGTTGGCACTACTTTACAAGTCCCTTACAAAGAATACTTTATCTAGTCCCCCATGAATGTTTTGCATCATTCCATCGTTTTTTACTGACTGAGAACGATAATGGAGACTAATTAACCGGCGCATCGCTTGTCTACCGAGTACACCCTACTCGGGGACGATTTGGAGCAATAAACATCAAGTGTGAATGAATCCGGCGACTGCCATTAGATTGAGCCGAAGTTGAGTAATGGCCAGAAGGGCCATCTAGCGTCTCCTCCCCATGAGATACATATGCAAACATACATCGCTACTGTTTCAACACAAAATTTGAGGGATTTCGTTGGAATAGTCTCAGTATATCCACAAATAGGTGTGACAATGGCCAACATTCGATCACATCTAAAACACGAAACTTCCACCCACCGCCCTTCGTCGCTGTGGGTCGTCCCAAAATCAAAACTTCATATAGCAGACGATGACTATGAACAGTCGGACAGGAAGTGAGGTAAGGTAGAATAATGATCGCCTGACTAAACCACTACGGAGGGAAATTTCATCCGCCCCAAACTCTCACTCACCTCCTTTTTTTCTCAGCAAACTCTGGGGCGTCTATGCATTGTCTTGTCGGAACGTTTGAGGCTGACTTTGATGTTTCTTTCGCGCTGAAAGCTGATGTCAGCTCGTCAAGATCAAGTCCAAAATCTAAAGCCATATTGTGGAGTCCGCGGTCAGCCCAAAACAGCGCCTTCATGATTGGACGGTTAAGAATAGCTCACCAGTACGGGAAGTGGTTACAAACTGGCTGTTGCTCAGGTGGTTGTTGATCTGTTCACTGGGCTTGGCGGCTGACTTCCAGACTTTTCGCCGCCATATGCGAAGACGTCATCACGGCTCACTTGGGTGGGTGCTTAGTGTTTGCCTGCATACCTCAAACTGCTCGATGAGGCGCCGCGTGCCCCGTCGAAACCGCATCAAAGAATGGATGTCACGAGGAACTGCGTGATACCGAGGCTGACATATTCACTCGTGCTCGGCCAATTTCATCCAAACACGTTCAAAATAATGGACAACTACATCAGCAATATGTTCATGGATGGCTACGTCTACCGAGGGGCAACCTGATGAGCTTGTAGCACTTGTAAACTGCTTTTTTTCATGCTCAGTATCATCTTCTTTTTTCCCATCATTATCAGTCACATCGCTGTACAAAAGTTTGTTTTACTGAAATACAACCGCTACCGCCCGCGCGTTGGCTCCAACGTGACTTTGAGACTTTTGCTGAGTGACTGTTGTTGTGACCGCCGGTTGGCTATATTTGACCGCTGCTAACACTAAACGTGAACAAACATTTCAGCTACAAACACTGGACTAATATATTCACGCTTGTGGAATAATATTTCGATCACCGGAGATTTGGGATACCAGGAAGATAGAACTATTCTTTGTGTGGTGGTTCAGCGGAATACGGAACTACGGAATCTCCTATTTTGAACTGTGAGTCAAAATTTACTTGTATTTTTCTCTTTGTGACTTTGAATCTGGCTTACATCATTGATTTGTTCAGTTCACTAGAGACTCCATAGCTTCGTTAACCACTACAAGCTTGTGGGGTTTTGTACCTTTATTTTACTTCCATTATAACACTACGTATTGCACCAATTGCATAATCGTTTTTTGTTTGAATACGGAAAGCTACAAAAAACGCGCACTTGTACAATTACACAGAATACAAGCATGGTCACGTGCTTCGACTCTCTTCTGATTTCGCTCGCGCTTGCAGAGGTCATTCGCGAGTCTCATGTACTAACTCTGGTACCAAAACATTTCAGTCATCTTCGGAATCTATTATATGTGGGAACTGTTCAGAAGAAAACATCTGGACCAACATAACTGGATTATTGTTTATTCGCTGACCTGGGCCAACGACGAACTATTTCGAAGAGAACAATTGCTAGTGAGTCTGTTCCGTCTGATCTCTTTATTTTTGTGTACCCAACCTAGCGTAACCATTTTTATTTCTTTGTCACACACTCCTGGTAAACTAACTTATTGGGTAGCCAGACCACTACAAGCTACATCCACGTCGGTAAACGACATGGGGAACATGGTATCCCAAGTCTGAGTGCAACAGTCCCGATGCAGCGGAGAACGCCTGTGGAAAAGCCCCTCTCTACTCAGTGCCGAGTGCTACGCAATGTGGTCAACGATTCCGCACTTGGCGAAATTGTTCGGGATCTGAGCCTTCCGATCCGAGTCCATGGTGATTGCATAAGCACCAAGAAAGGCTGGTGGCTGGTTACGGTGATAGTCCTCACAACATCGTTGAAGGTCGCGGTGTACGAGTGTTGGTCGCATTGTCCCCTCTAATCAATGGATTGTATTTCCAGAACGAGTGTTTCCTCGGGTATTTATCCGCGGTATCCAGCTCCGAAGCAACCTGCTCAGGACGAGATTTAGAGGCGCTCGGCATGGTCATGGTGGTCTTATGTCGTGGAAACTGTGGCCAATCGGAGATTTTGGTGCATATTTTGCAATCCTGCCGGATCATGCATGATGCCGGATGTGCTCGTCATAGTCGGGTTGCAAGGGAGCTTGCAAAACGTAACCGTCGACCGGGATACACCATCTTCGAGGAGTTGGGAGCACCTAATTCGGCGTCCTTCATCAAACCTGACCTAATCGCTGTTCGAGGTCGTCGTGCAGCTGTAATAGACGTCAACGTAGTCTCGGATGGACATGGGGTGACTCTGTGGAATGAGAAGAAGCAGAAATATGGTGCTGGTGAATATTCCCTTGCTATAATCTCAGCCCTACATGCCATCGGTTGTGATTTCGACTTTTTGGTTCACCAACCGATGATCATCTCCCATCGAGGGATCTGTTTCCTCAGTCCACCGAGGGTGTTATTGGACTGAGACTTCCTGGGTGTGTTTGCTTGTCATTGTGGGCTCTCTGCGTACTTGCGACACTTATGCGTGGCACATGGTGTTAAGCGTATATTTTGGCCGTTTAACCTCATACCAGATCCAGTACGATGGACTCTTTGTGCTTGATGTGCGAGTCTTGACCCGGCTGGCGCTTGCTGCTCCTTGAGGAGCATTCAGCACTGTCTGTCTTTTCTTCGGTTGTTGGTCTTGGACGCGTGTTTCGATACCAAACTTTTAATCTACGTTGGGTTACATCTTATCCGGCTGTAACTGTTAGTGGCATGAATTCGAACGAAATGTTTCTCTCTTTTATCCCATATTCCCCTGTTACCCTTTCGCATTCGCCGCTTGCATTCACAAATTGTTTGTGACCACGCTCTTCGAAAACAAATGACAGAATTTGTCAAGTATGTTTTCTCTTGACAATAATCACTAGTTTGACAGCGCTTTTATCGAATTTTATGGCCCGTTTGTGCTCTTTGTTGCATCGTAACCCATTCTCCTTTTGGTTGCTTCGTTAATCCAGGGCCTCCTGTTTTTTACGCTTCGTCCTCGTATTTAATAAATTTCCCTCTCAATTTGCTTTGCGCTAGCTATGTATGGTTGGTTCCATTGCCCTATTTCGTCCATTCGCCGTCCTTTGGAAACACTCAAAATCCTCCTGAAGCCACAGTTTGCGGGATGGAAAACTTTAAGTAGATTTTCAACGTGTGACACGGTTTATTGGAAGCCGTAAATCTTCCATCAGATAGTGATAGTTTCGTTGAAAACTGTTCAAGCCTGCCCAAGATCTACTGTCGGCGCGGAGTTCATATTTTTGGTGGCATCATGGCTCAGCATGGCCGCTGGCTACTTGCGCACACAAATTATTTTCGCCGAAACTATAGGGTTTTCGATGTTGAGACTTTGACGGGGAGCTAGTATAATCCATTTGCGCCTTCCGGTAACATGTTGCTCGTACCATTTTGCTTAAGTGAGCGAAATTTCGAGGTCACAGACCTTCACCGATCCGCATTTTCTTACCAGTTTACGCAACGTAAAACACGAAATTGCACTTTAGGATATTTTGGCGTTCTTCGGTGTTCTTTGAGAACAGAAAACATCTAGGGAATATCTAATGCAAATTTCATCTCGGAAGACCAGTTGTTGACGTTTGTTTGCCTTACGATCCTCAGATATAACAAATGGGATGTGGGATAGCTCTTCGCACCCCGAAGGGCGGGAAGTGAAAGATCAGTAACTGCAGATAAGGACAGACAGGCTTCTCGGAAAATTGAAGCCAGGTTGGAATAACATTCAAAGTCTACTCTTGGAGCTGCTTAGAGGTGGATTGGTGTGTTGTTGTGACCGGTTATTGGCTGAGATGGACACTCAACGTGGGTGATCACGGCGCCGCGGCTCCGTCTGGTGGAAATTGCTGTATGATTGCGGAGGGACCTTGTATATAACTCCATTTTTAGCGACCTAATTTGTAGATTTGGATTTATGACTATTTCGGAGGATGTTGGCCGTGTTACTTGCAGACCTCGAGGACTTTGTTTTGTTTGCTGCATGCTTTGGGGTTAATCGGCAGTTTACGAGAACGCTTCCCGACCTATGCATGAAACACCCGGCTGGAGAGTCTCTTGCAGCTTCTGTCAGTCACTCACTCAAAACAAAAGAAATTTGATAACATTTTTGGATTTCATTAATTTGCAGTCAACCCGGATTAGATCAGTAATGTTAACGGACCAAATGTATGGTAATATGGCAGTTTTCTGTTATCCCTATCCAACTTAGCCGCTAAGCTCGTTGATAATAATAATAGTGATGTTTATTCCCAACTTGTGGGTGGTGTAGCGTCGGACATGATCATTTGTTTACGGTCAGGATAAAGCATGAATAAAATTCTCTCTCGAGTCCCGTCGCGTTTGCTCCACCAGGTAGACCATTAGATGCACTGTATATATATTTGTATATATATGTGCACCGTATATTTATCACACTGACGGAAGAATTCAACCGTAGCCTAAATTTGTGAACAGTTCATACATACAATAGATTCCGAAAATAGTCTGAAATGTTTTGATACCAGAGTTAGCACGTGAGACTCGCGAATGACCACCGTAAGTGAGAGCGGAATCAGAAGAGATGGTCGGAGCTCATCACCACGTTTGCATTGCGTGAAAATGTACCAGTGCGCGTTTTTGTAGTTTTTCCTTTCCAAACAAAAAACGATAATGCAGTTTACGAAATAGGGAGTTTTATAATGGAAGCAAAATAAAGTTGCAAAACACACCACACTACTCCTCTATTAGGGCGATGACCGTGAAAGGAATGACGCTCGAATAATAGAATCAATGAATCAAATAGTTGCTCACTTCAAGTCTCGTAATCAGCTCAGTGCTGAGGGAAACGGGCGCGTCATGCGGAATGACTAGTGGAAGGACTGAGGTTGGCCGTAGGAGTATCTCGGGTAAGTGCGAGTGTTAGTATAAAGCAGAATTGCTGGATGTGGTCGTGGGTGCCTTAATGAAGACAGGGTTCAGACGATCAATGGAGACGGCATCATGATTTCCGCTTCTCTCTATAGCGAAGTATTTGGAATTACGTTCGATACACTTGAAGGGACCATCATAACAGGGTTGGATGGTTTTCCTTGCTGCGTCACGTCTGGCAACTACAAATGGTGTAGAAGATAGATCTTTCGAGGATTATTCTTTTTGAGTTGATCGTCTTGTCGGTGTCGCGCGAAGTTCAGACATATGCCGTTTCAGACGGATGACAAATGTGACGGGTGATTCGGGTTCTGCGCTAGAAAAGGAAACCAGTTTACAGGGT